GTCAGTGTTGTTATCGATAAAGGGACATATCATACTTCCCGAGTGTGTTGTTGTTGTTATAGATTCAGTTACTCGTTCCGAGTAGCACGGGCTATGGTGAGCCCGTAGTGGACTTACCTGGCACAGGAGCGGTGCTGAATGTGTCTCCCGAGTGTGTGAGGAACAGCGTTCATCAAGCAGTTACTCATCCACTATATCCCAACCACTTGGGCTGGACGGTAGAGCGACGGCCTCGCGTTTGAAGGTCGGCGTTCAATCCTCGACCGTCCAAGTGGTTGGACACCATTCCCTTTTCCTCACGTCAATCCCAAATCCTTATCCTGACCCCCCCTTCCCAGTGCCATATAGTCGTAATAGCTTTGGCACGTTCCTCCCTGATAATTCTATTCTATTACGAGACCTGTATATCTTTCCACAATCATGACAACTTTGTTTATATCTCATAGACAATATATATATATATATATATATATATATATATATATATATATATATATATATATATATATATATATATATATATATATATCTTGGAGGAGCCTGGAAGGTGGGAGAGTAAAGAGAGCTGAGGGCGAGGAGGCTAATTAAGCGCCATTACGGAGACGCGGCGCATCTTCATGTTTCATCAGGGCCGCGGCACGGTCTCTGCTCTTAAGAGCAATTGGACAAGTTTTTCGTGCGCTGGTTTATGTGCTGGCTCCCTTACACACTCGCCCGCCCCACACCACTCTCAGTATACAGGTGCGGTGACGGTGGGGGGCAAGGGGACACAGGGAGGGGGGACACAGGGACACAGGGAGAGGGAGACACAGGAAGGGGGGGAAAAGACTGTCTGCGGTCAACAAGGACATACAGTGGTGCCACATAAACATTGACACAATTTAAGGTCAACAAGATGGTTGACTTAGGAGAATGACCAACATTTAAGACCTTAGGCCTGTATAAACAGCCTCACGGGGAATAAACACACACACTGCCTTCATTCCTAGTGGGTGCCTGGTGGTCCCTGTGTGTGGTTGGTGGTCCCTGTGTGTGGTTGGTGGTCCCTGTGTGTGGTTGGTGGTCCCTGTGTGTGGTTGGTGGTCCCTGTTGGTGGTTGGTGGTCCCTGTGGGTGGTTGGTGGTCCCTGTGTGTGGTTGGTGGTCCCTGTGTGTGGTTGGTGGTCCCTGTGTGTGGTTGGTGGTCCCTGTGTGTGGTTGGTGGTCCCTGTGTGTGGTTGGTGGTCCCTGTGGGTGGTTGGTGGTCCCTGTGTGTGGTTGGTGGTCCCTGTGTGTGGTTGGTGGTCCCTGTGTGTGATTGGTGGTCCCTGTGTGTGGTTGGTGGTCCCTGTGTGTGGTTGGTGGTCCCTGTGGGTGGTTGGTGGTCCCTGTGGGTGGTTGGTGGTCCCTGTGGGTGGTTGGTGGTCCCTGTGGGTGGTTGGTGGTCCCTGTGGGTGGTTGGTGGTCCCTGTGGGTGGTTGGTGGTCCCTGTGTGTGGTTGGTGGTCCCTGTGTGTGGTTGGTGGTCCCTGTGTGTGGTTGGTGGTCCCTGTGTGTGGTTGGTGGTCCCTGTGGGTGGTTGGTGGTCCCTGTGGGTGGTTGGTGGTCCCTGTGGGTGGTTGGTGGTCCCTGTGGGTGCCTGGTGGTCCTTGTGTGTGGCTGGTGGTCTCTGTGGGTGGTTGGTGGTCCCTGTTGGTGGTTGGTGGTCCCTGTTGGTGGTTGGTGGTCCCTGTGGGTGGTTGGTGGTCCCTGTTGGTGGTTGGTAATCCCTGTGGGTGGTTGGTGGTCCCTGTGGGTGGTTGGTGGTCCCTGTGGGTGGTTGGTGGTCCCTGTGTGTGGTTGGTGGTCCCTGTGGGTGGTTGGTGGTCCCTGTGGGTGGTTGGTGGTCCCTGTGTGTGATTGGTGGTCCCTGTGTGTGGTTGGTGGTCCCTGTGTGTGGTTGGTGGTCCCTGTGGGTGGTTGGTGGTCCCTGTGGGTGGTTGGTGGTCCCTGTGGGTGGTTGGTGGTCCCTGTGTGTGATTGGTGGTCCCTGTGTGTGGTTGGTGGTCCCTGTGTGTGGTGGTGGTCCATGTGGGTGGTTGGTGGTCCCTGTGGGTGGTTGGTGGTCCTGTGGGTGGTTGGTGGTCCCTGTGTGTGGTTGGTGGTCCCTGTGGGTGGTTGGTGGTCCCTGTGGGTGGTTGGTGGTCCCTGTGTGTGGTTGGTGGTCCCTGTGGGTGGTTGGTGGTCCCTGTGTGTGGTTGGTGGTCCCTGTGTGTGGTTGGTGGTCAGACTCATACTGGCACCTCACACTGATGTATCCTTTCATGGTCGCCCAGGCACTTGGGCTGGACGGTAGAGCAACGGTCTCGCTTCTTGCAGGCCGGCGTTCAATCCCCGACCGTCCAAGTGGTTAGGCACCATTCCTGCCACCCGTCCCATCCCAAACACTAATCCTGGTACCCCTTGCATGTCCTATATGGACGTAATGGCTCACTGCTTTCTCCTTATCTTTACCTTACCTATAGGGTCGGTGGCCCGGGCACTAACTGAGGCATGAGCGACCTTACAGCCTCTCTTCCTGACCATATAGTCAGCAAATATTTACACAACCAGTTGCGAAACCTGTACATCTTTCCTCCATCATGGTGGCTTGGTTAACCTTTATTAAACCGTTTATGAGCTTGGAACTTCACAAGCCAAGGTCATTGTTTTTATAAACATCCTTTTTATGAAAAAAGTGCGACGTATTAGTTTAAATTAAAGCACCCCAATATGGACGTTTTCAGTGGGCCAGATAGGTTAGGAAGGCTGCTTGGAACTGTACGGATGTGGATAGGCACAACAGTTATATTTGTTACGGAGTGGTTCATCCAGAGAAGGTGTAGGCGTGCCAACCTTACCGCTTCATCATGGTACACCTGCTCCGTGCCTGGTGTACTTCTTGTTCTTAACAGCTGCCCTCTGCTCTTATACGTGGTTAGTGCTTTATTATACCAGACTCTCCCTCGGAGGCAGGTAGCTGGAATGTCTCCCTCCCAGCTCTCAGAGAAAGGGAATGGGAAGGGAAATCTTCCCCTCCCAGCTCTCAGGGAAAGGGAATGGGAAGGGAAATCTTCCCCTCCCAGCTCTCAGGGAAAGGAAATGGGAAGGGAAAGCTCTCAGCCAGCTAACAGGGAGTCAGCAGCCGTCTGCTCCTGTACCCACCTGTGTAGTAAAAATATTATTAACACGAATCATTAGTGGCTTCAGGCATAGTATGTATTAGCTCTATCTAGAACTCCAACATTCTGTTTGTAACTCCACTTTTACCTAAATAACCATTTATTATTTATTTACTTATAATGACATCTAAATAAGTAAGTATAAAATTACCACCTCTGGTGCAGCTGTCGGGACCCACAGCCTCGGAGAAGAGAACACAGGGTATTCAGAGAAGACCTTGCTGATTCTCCCTGAACACTTCAGTATTTTCTTCTACCATCCCTACTTTGTTTGCTAAACAATAAACTAAAAATTACTGAATTAACCCACAAATATATAATGTTGTCACAGTGAAGTTTCTCTGGCATAAATCAATTAGTCTTCAGCTTATAATATTATATTCTGCAATCACGATTAAAACCTAACTCTACACAAGAATTAATATTAAAACATATGCTTACACGGTAGACAGGGAGCCGATCGGCCGAGCGGACAGCACACTGGACTTGTGATCCTGTGGTCCTGGGTTCGATCCCAGGCGCCGGCGAGAAACAATGGGCAAAGTTTCTTTCACCCTGTGCCCCTGTTACCTAGCAGTAAAATAGGTACCTGGGTGTTAGTCAGCTGTCACGGGCTGCTTCCTGGGGGTGGAGGCCTGGTCGAGGACCGGGCCGCGGGGACACTAAAGCCCCGAAATCATCTCAAGATAACCTCAAGAAGATACACGAATCAGTGTTCTTAAACGTGTTAAAAGCTCTTACTACCTAATATTATAATCTTAGGAGCAACTTCAATCTTAATGGCTTTCCTTACTGCATAAATACAACCTTAATATATACAACCACTTAAGTTAATCACAAGATTAATTCACAATGAATCGTGTACTTTACTCCTACTTAATATATAAACACACGTGTGTGTGGGGGGGGGGACTTGCAGGTGTGTTAGTGGTGACTGTGAGGGGGGGGGGACTTGCAGGTGTGTTAGTGGTGACTGTGAGGGGGGGACTTGCAGGTGTGTTAGTGGTGACTGTGAGTGGTGTGACTGTGAGGGGGGGGGGACTTGCAGGTGTGTTAGTGGTGACTGTGAGGGGGGGGGACTTGCAGGTGTGTTAGTGGTGACTGTGAGGGGGGGGGGGACTTGCAGGTGTGTTAGTGGTGACTGTGAGGGGGGGGGGACTTGCAGGTGTGTTAGTGGTGACTGTGAGGGGGGACTTGCAGGTGTGTTAGTGGTGACTGTGAGGGGGGGGGACTTGCAGGTGTGTTAGTGGTGACTGTGAGGGGGGGGACTTGCAGGTGTGTTAGTGGTGACTGTGAGGGGGGGGGGGACTTGCAGGTGTGTTAGTGGTGACTGTGAGGGGGGGGGACTTGCAGGTGTGTTAGTGGTGACTGTGAGGGGGGGGGGACTTGCAGGTGTGTTAGTGGTGACTGTGAGGGGGGGGGACTTGCAGGTGTGTTAGTGGTGACTGTGAGGGGGGGGGACTTGCAGGTGTGTTAGTGGTGACTGTGAGGGGGGGGGACTTGCAGGTGTGTTAGTGGTGACTGTGAGGGGGGGGGGACTTGCAGGTGTTAGTTAGTGGTGACTGTGAGGGGGGGGGACTTGCAGGTGTGTTAGTGGTGACTGTGAGGGGGGGACTTGCAGGTGTGTTAGTGGTGACTGTGAGGGGGGGGGACTTGCAGGTGTGTTAGTGGTGACTGTGAGGGGGGGGACTTGCAGGTGTGTTAGTGGTGACTGTGAGGGGGGGGGACTTGCAGGTGTGTTAGTGGTGACTGTGAGGGGGGGGGGGGACTTGCAGGTGTGTTAGTGGTGACTGTGAGGGGGGGGGACTTGCAGGTGTGTTAGT